ACTTGCATCATTTCTCTAAAATCAGTGCAGTCTTGAGGGCAGTGGAGGCTGTAAGGGGCACGGACAATAACATGTCCCCCACCATTTTTGAACTACGCTGTACTAGTATCTGATCCTAGATGAAAAACTGTAGTTTGTTCAAAGACCCGAGACAATGATTTGCTTGGGCTTATTAGAGCATTAGTTCTTGCTGCCATTGCTCAAGACATCAAGATTTTAAAGCACTTCGCCATCACTGTTAGTTGATATAGTATTTGAAAATAGAAAACTAAAAATATTCCAAGTGGTAACAGCCTAATCAAAAATATGTTCAAGGGTTTAGAGGCTGTAATCAGGCTCTGCTGGCTTTCGCAGGTGATCACACATAGAACTCGAAGGTAATCCCAACTCACTCTGGTGATATGAGCCAATAAGAGGTAATACTGCATTGACCTGCTTTAAGACGTGCGTTTTCCTTCCAACTTCTTTTCTTTCTATTGTGAGCAAAGAATAAATAACGATGCATACAGACGAGACTCAATACGATACGCATAGAAGAAAATGTTTGAGTAAGGAGTTGTCCAAATAAAAACAGGTTGTATATTTCATATGAAAAGGAGCTGACAGCCTAAGGTGGCATTCCTGTAGATGCTGAGTTTTACATTGTCAATAAAAACATATAAGACAGCTTTAGAATGTTTATAATGCTCATTCAAACGTCTACGCGCTCAAATAATGCTCTTTATTACATGCGTCTTCCCTTAACTTATTATGTTTTTAAAATCTTCCTGTCCTGGTGCTTCGAATGCCGTTTATATAACCAGTCTCTGATGTCTACTCGGCTTCATGCCCGTTTATTCTGGCTGCGAGTGCCACCCCCTCAACCTCCACACACACACACACACACATACTTGTCTATGTGTACCAACCGAGGACATCAGCACAACACCATACAACCGAGGACATCTTATTCCTTGGTTAAATCAAAATAAAAACATTCAATTTAGGGTAAAATCTATTCGAGTNAAAAGTGCACGGCGACGGCGACGACGGCGACGACAGACGCAGATGATGGCTATATGTACAGACACATCTGTGTCTGTACATAAAAAGGAAATGGCCACAGTGTGACCTTTGTCTGCCAAGATACATGTATGCTGTCTGAAATTTTCTTCCCTCCTGATTCTAGAATGCTTTTCTATAGATGTTATTGCCTTTAGAGATCACTCAGTGTTTCCTCAACGAATTGATTTAGTGGACCAACTTATCCTCTTTATATGGATACTAACATTTTACACCTCAACATTGTGTTTTTCACAATGCTGAACACATCTAGTTACTTTCCCCCTCATTATGTAACACTCCCGAGCTTGCATGAATGGCTGTTTAGATAGCATGTTGAAAGTTCAGGAACTGCAGTGAATAGCAGCTGAAATCAGTGGTGACTATTGGTTTACTTGCATAGTTTGAATGTTTTTGTTTTTGTTTTTGCACCATGGTGACCAAGAAGTGACACTGCACCCTGCCTCCTAACCCGTTCATCTCTTTCGACACACCTAAAAGGTTGAGATTATACTGTATACGTCTAGACTTGTAGACGCTATATTATACGGGGTCCGCCATATAGATAAACGTCCCAATAAAATATTCGTCCCGATAGATAGGCCCTACGTCTCTATACATACACGTCTCAATAGATTTACGTCTCGTTAAATTTAAGTTCCGATAGATCCACCAACAGTTTCCTATAAACCCACGTATCTTTAGATCCAGGTACCGCTAGATCCATCTATCTGACATCGTAATTAATCGGCTAAAATGCCGATATAAACTTGAGATACAGGTATGAGGCTTTCGAGAGATAGTCTGGATGCGAGTACTGACCCACTCAGTGAGATGACTTAATTACAACCTGATATTTATTTATTTATATATTTATTAGGTGTTCAAACAAGATATAGGCCTACATGTACATGTACGTTCGCGTCTACACGTCTTTACTATCGTTTACTATCATTTACTCCATTCCGCAATGTACGCACGTAACTTCATCAATGTAAACTACTTGGACATAAAAACGACACAGATTCGTTATCACGTCCAAGATGTAAGTAACTTCTATATATATGCAGCCGATTTTTGCCTGCAAACTTTGGGTATGTTTGTCAACCATACAGTAATGGTTTCTATCAAGTAGGCCTATACAAGACAGTTATCAGGCAGAATCATTCATGAAATGCCCAAATAAATCATACACAGTATAAAATAAGAAGGGTTTACTTGTAAAACTCTTAACATTATTTCATCAACTTTTGCCGAGTTCTTAATTGACGTGTGTGTGTGTGTGTGTGTGTGTGTGTGTGTTTTCTTGGATTAATCGCTATGAAAAAATATATAATCTTAGGTTCCTGTCAGAAGCCTTCGTAATCAAAACTAAATGAATGTAACATGAGAATAACAAAACATCTAGTGAAATCATAAATTTCTGTCAGATAATGCATTAGTAGGCCTAATGTAAATTACCCGAGTATTGCGTAAAAACGATCTTTAGTAGAATAATAAATTGCTGAAAGGATTAATATGTGTTCTCTCGTTTTAAACAGTGCATTTTATGTACTGAGTAGTATACCAACCATTTTGAGCAATAGTGTACCTGTAATGGATCTATCGGTATTTGGATCTAAAAATACGTGGATCTATAGGTATGCTGATTTAAAGGACGTGGGTTTATGAGGACGTCGTATCTATAGGAACGCAAATTTATAGGACGGTGGTAAAAAATCGGATCTATCGGTATTTAAATCTAAAAAGACGTTTTTTCAGTTTTCCCTTTATGTATCTATCGGTAACGGGAGTATAGGGACGTGTAATATTTTGGGACTAAATTTTATCCGTACGTACCCTATTATACAACAATGCCACTCATAAGTACAAATGTAAGTACTCATAACAATATAGTATGTGGCGCAGTAGTAAAGGGAACAAACTCGTCGCACTTTAGGTAACTCTTCATTCTAATTGATATCACTGTGATTCATCCACATTAATTTTCCCTGTAGCACTTCCTTCCCTTAAATACAAGTTGTTGGTACCACTTATATATGACCCATAGCTCACGTAACTGTGACCATACACAACAGTATCAAGTATTTTTCCATTTTCTTTTGAATGTGGTTTTTCAATGTAGGTACACTGTATTGTATCCTTGCTGCCACTCAATTTAGACGGTTAGCTGCATATACCGTCGTGACTGGATTAAAGATGGGGTTTCCTGTATGTGGTTGAGCATATCAGTCTGCTCTCTAGAAAGTGCCCCGTAAACTTCGTGAGAAATTTTAATATTGCTTCACAGTTGCTAGAACTACAGGAAATAAAATTTCAGCTGGTAACAAAGAGATACTTAATGGCACTTATGCAGTGATTTCACCAAACGGACATTCGAACATGAATAAAGGGATAGAATACCAAAAAGGGAATGGCCACGGTGTAGCCTAAGCCTGCCAAGATACACGTAGGCTGTCTGGATTTTTTTCACTTATAGTTACAGAATATTTTTATAGATATTATTGCCTTTAGAGATCATGCAGTACATGTATTTTCTCAACGAAATCATTTCGTAGGCCCACTCAGTATCTTTATGTGGATACTACACTAATACTCTCAACACATTTTTCACAATGCTGATCACATCAAGTTACTTTACCCATTGCAAAATGCACAACTAATTTTCTTTATGATTGTTTTAAAGCTAGGGATATGAAAATTGCATCCATGCTGAATAAAACCTAGATTAACTGACGATGCAGTTTTCATATCCCCCTAAATAATAGTTAGTTTAATATAAGGTTTAGTGTAGCCTATTCTAGTTGAATCAGATTTTTTTTTTTTTTGTTATCCCTATATTGATCTTTATTGAGTAGTACTTGTACTTTCCCTGCTTTAGTCTAGACATTATATAATGTATATCAAACTGTATATGGTAATCACTCTGCGGATTACTTCTTGTATTTGTATTTGATCATGCCCGGATGTAGGGCGATTGTCAATAAACTTCTGGTTCTGATTCCTTCGTAATGTAACACTCCAGTCTTTGTATGAATGACTGTTTAGAAGATTGAAAGTTCAGGAACTACATTGAATAACAATTGAAATCAGCGATGACTATTGGTTACTTTAATTAGTTTGAATGATTAGTTTGCTTTTTGCTCCACCAGGCTGACAACGCCAGTGACCCCCCCTGGCCCCCCCCCCCCCCCCTTCGTCATTCTATTTGGACACACCTAAAAGGTTGAGATTTATCAAGTTTCAGACCGGTTTACGCTATATATTATAACAAAGCCACCTTGTCTCCCCGTAGTGCTAGACCAATTTCATTTAGCCAGATCGTTTCCATGACTTTACAACCAAACCCAATATGGAGGTGCAAATGAGGTCACAGGCAACCTCTTAAAATATTTAGTGCACAGATTGCTAACTACGTTTGATAATTTTAGTGTCCCAAATAAAGAAGTTTGTATCAAAGATTCACCCTCCTGGAACCATGAATAATAAAAAATTATTCATCGCATAATCCCAAAAAAGAAACATACGTTACTGTCATAAATGCAAAACATCCAGCTGGGGAAACATTTTACTCACTTTGAAAACTCAATTATCACTAAATTTGTTCTTTAATTTATCAGACAGTACATCGCCTCCTCCACCCTTATCCTATACATTAGTTCATTATTTGAATCAGTTTCATATTAACAGAATTTTCTTTCAGTTCCCAACCAAGTACTCATTAATTCCTTTAGTCGAAATAGTTTTCAATTTTCCACACTTTTTCATCAGTGTAGTATTATTGGCAGCATAGTATATGGTGCAGTAGTAAAAACAACAAACTCATTTGCACCTTACACGTAAGTAGCTCATCTTGTAAATGTAAATCGCTGCATTGTGATTCAAGATCAGGGAATATTCACTTACATTAATTTTCCCTGAAACACTTACTCTAAATACAAGTTGTTGGCGCCACTTACCCAAAACTGACGTAACTGCGACCACACACAACAAAATCAGGTATTTTGCCATTTTCCTTTAAATGTAGTTTCTCAACTGTGCCCTTGGTGCTACTCAGTTTAGAAGGTTAGCTGCAAATACCCGTCGTAACTGGTTTAAGAATTCGGGCGTTTCCTTTATATCATGTATATGGTCCTGCTCTCTATAGAAGGTGATCCTTACCTTCGTGGGAAGAGGGCGACCATAACAAAGATCGCTTGCTTTTGGTGATGTAGGCGTGTTCCATAATTGTTGTTAGGCAATGACCTGGAACTTTCTTACAATGACCATCGTCTTATATTGTTAAGGGTTGGGACTCCTTAACTCAAAATACGTCTGACTAAAATAACAAAGGTAAAATGTTAGATAATATACACTGCTTTGGTTTGCAAATGATCACGTATCACAGTTTTAATAGTACCTTTCAACCAGACACATATCTTACATGACTAGTTTATGGGACAAAAAATACAGATTATCGGTAAACTTCACCCCGTCAAATCGGATGTTCCACAAAAATTAAATCAGCAGCCAAAATTTAAACCAATGCTGTATATTTGACAAAGCACAGTTTTTAAACATGTTGTGAAAGAAAACAATGACACCGCGATTGTGTAAATATTCTCATTGTCTATGAGTTTCCATATTTGATTCTAAAATAATGTGCCGTAGTGCAGATTCTATGCATTAGACCCAAATGAGATTTTGGTGGAAAAAATGCTACTTCGCTGGGAGCAAGTTCTACATTTGTACATCGCTGAATAGGTCATTCCTCTTTCCCTCTTTCTGATCTCGTTGCAGAATTAAAAGAAACTGATTGGAAAGTATCAGCTTTGTTTGTTCAAGATATGAAAGATTACTTTATTATTTTACCTTTTGCACAAAATCACTTTAATAAAGTTGGATTTTGAATACAAGAAAACTATTTTAGCACAGACGTTCCTGTACAGTCTTGCTTATACAGGCTTCATTAAAACAATAATTAAAAAAGCACAGTAAAAAAATCTTCATTTAGAAATAATTTTTATCTCCCCTCAGAGCCATACTTATTCTGAAACTCCTCTGATAACTATTTGACCACGACTGTGTGATCATGGGAAATTCGAATAAAGCCACGCCCGGCTTGGCCCATCTAGAGCAAATCATACCTCAAAATAAATACAGTCGATAAGGCTTCGTTCACATGGAAAGTCTATTTTCTAAAAATCTATTTTCTATTCGCGGTATCTTATGATCAGTCTGTGCCCTGAATATCCCGCGGCGTAATTACTAGCAGCGCGAGCCAGTTACTTATACAAAGCTGTAATTAATTCTCGGCTGTGCTCGCATTCTATAAAATCTCATCCTCCGTTGCCGCATCGCTTGCCATCGGATCATGACGGTTGCACTCGTATCTGTCGTGTGTATAGCTTCTTCATCTTCCTCGTCTTGTTGTTGCACAAAATCGACAAACACATTTTTCAAAGCAACCGCGACCGTCATTAACTTTCTAACTTCCTACTGCGCATGCGTCAAGGTATCAGAATCTCCTCCGAGCACAGCCGAGAATAATTACAGCTTTGGAAGTAACTGGCTCGCGCTGCCAGTAATTACGCTGCGGGATAATCAGGGCACAGACCGTGATCACAAGATATACCGCGAATAGAAAATAGATTTTTAGAAAATAGACTTTCCATGTCATTTACTTATTCTATTTATTAATTGTTTCATACAGTCATGCTAACCGACACAAGGTAAAACATAGACGTGTACGATCTTCCTTTATACCTCTGAAGCCTTCCTTACGGCTCCTCTAGTAAAATCCCGCATTCCTACCCCTTTTCCTTTCTCGTTATGTACAGTTAAATCCCGAACCTTTTGGAAGTAAAGATGGGCTACACTCTAGCCTGTTACAGAAATACGTGACTTGATTACTTCATTATAGAACAGGACGACAGTAATGGAAACTACTAGAAATGCGACAGTTGAACCAGTTTTGAATGTCTTCTCTGAACGCAATCCCCTCACCTCAGCATGCTGACATGCGTGGATTCTGGCACAGAGATCGAATTGACGAAGCATTATCGATATTTTCAAACGTTGCGCATATTTGTTTTTGGTTTATCTAATTTTATTTCTAAATTATCCATTTTTCGCTGAAAAACATACTCTAGTGGCAGCACTTCACTTAAAAATTACATTGTAGGGCAATTTTCATATTTATCAAGCATGTAGGCCTACTTATGCATAGCCTATGCATAACCACCTTTCTGTCTTAAAACTTCTGTGTTTTTTTAAACAGACTGAAGTATCGCAATATTGCAATTTTAGTGGTCAATGATGGTGAAGGAACCTTCCAATACACTAAACCTAATTATGACCAATATTTATTCATATGAAGTCATACATACACACAATGGACAATAGAAGTGTCACCCCCTGAATCAGAGTAATCAAGCAGGTACATCTTGAGTAGTTATAATGCCTGGTCTACTTGATGTTAATAAAATGATACCAGGAGCATATCATGTAAACAACTCATAGAAATAAAATACATAATACAAAGATCAGCAAAAACAATGATCAGCATAAAACAAATTGAACTTATAAAAATAAGATAGTACATGCATATAGTGCCAAATGTATATGGTGTCCTGTAAGTTAACTCCCCTTAAGATTCGCCCTTTAATACAAGCATAATAAGCTGTTCCAGCTACTGTTCTTAAGCACAATCATAACTGTTTCCATCATCAAGTATTAGAAGCATAATATACACAATCTTGTTTGCTTATTATAAATCATCTACCGGCGTAGGCAACCATGGCTTTGCAGATTTCTGTTAAATACATTCATGGCAGCGACCTCTTTTTGGCCCATTTCAGCTTTGCAGCTCTCAGAAACACTGCCCTTTGCCATATAAATGCAGTGCATGAATTGAATGTAATGGTCAACTCGGCTGAAAGAAAAAGCTTTGGCATTAACTTGATTTTTTTTTATTGATTGCAGTTAAAATGTATTTTATTGATTGCACACACAAGCACATTGAATAAATGGATTGGGACAGTATTAGCAGTTATCACAGTAGTTTTACATATTTATCACAATAACATACATGTATACAGATCGCAGTTACGCGATGAGGCACGTGTGTGGTTTATCCAATTTAGATACATAACTGTCACCGATCAAACTTGAGAAAACCTGTAATTTATATACCTACCTGACGCAGTCTGTTGATTTCATCTTAGGGACCTGACGGTAACATCCCGCGTACTTAACTATGATCTCATCATTGCAGCCTAAACAAATCATTTCAATCATTATTTTAATGTGTCTCCTCATAAGTCATCTCCTCATAAACAGGTTATCAAAATGTCTAAGGTAAGGGATGTATAATGTTAATTGTATAAATCTTTTTGTAATAAAAGACACGCACCACTCCTAACATAAGCAAAAAACATAATATTCCAAGCTTACGACTGACAACAGTTGTGCTCTGTAGTAGCAAGTAACTTGTCAAATACAACCATTATTTTACCTGATTTCTTGCTTATTATTTTTTCGGAGTCCATTAGTTCTCTGAGAAAAAGTTTCAATAGGGACACATCGTCTTCGATCTGCAATCCTGAAATATAAATGTGTACATGTTCTAATGGAACCGAGAAGATCGAGTTACTGTAGATTTGAACGAGTCCAACAAAAATCTGAACCACAAACAGTGAGTCATAGATGAACATATGCTACGAACTACATGGGGAACCCGAAATAAAATAGCGGGTGGAAGTTAATTCTCACCCAAACAAGGAGAAAAAATACAATCTGAGTGTAAGCGTTCATAATACCGAAGTACTACAAAAAAAAAACAAAAAAAAAAAAAAAAAAAAAAAAAAAAACGGAGTTGCATCATTTCTCTAAAATCAGTGCAGTCTTGAGGGCAGTGGAGGCGGTAAGGGGCACGGACAATCACGTCTCCACCATTTTTTAACTTCAGCTGTACTAAACCGGCAAATACAGGGGCGATACGCCTGTTGTATCTGATCCTAGATGAAAAACTGTAGTTTGTTCAAAGACCCGAGACAATGATTTGCTTGGGCTTATTAGAGCATTAGTTCTTGCTGACATTGCTCAAGACATCAAGATTTTAAAGCACTTCACCATCACTGATAGTTGATATAGTATTTGAAAATAGAAAACTAAAAATATTCCAAGTGGTAACAGCCTAATCAAAAATATGTTCAAGGGTTTAGAGGCTGTAATCAGGATCTGCTGGCTTTCGCAGGTGATCACACATAGGACTCGAAGGTAATCTCAACTCACTCTGGTGATATGAGCCAATAAGAGGTAATACTGCATTGACCTGCTTTAAGACGTGCATTTTTCTTCCAACTTCTTTGCTTTCTATTGTGAGCAAAGAATAAATAACGATGCATACAGACGAGACTCAATACGATACGCATAGAAGAAAATGTTTGAGTAAGGAGTTGTCCAAATAAAAACAGGTTGTATATTTCATATGAAAAGGAGCTGACAGCCTAAGGTGGCATTCCTGTAGATGCTGAGTTTTACATTGTCAATAAAAACATATAAGACAGCTTTAGAATGTTTATAATGCTCATTCAAACGTCTACGCGCTCAAATAATGCTCTTTATTACATGCGTCTTCCCTTAACTTATTATGTTTTAAAAATCCTCCTGTCCTGGTGCCAGTCTCTGATGTCTGTTCGGCTTCATGCCCGTTTATTCTGGCTGCGAGTGCCACCCCCTCAACCTCCACACACACACACACACGCACACACACACAAACACACACACACACACACACACACACACACACACACACGCACGACCAAGGTGTATAACCACGATGATTCGCGATGTCTTGGTGACTTTTTCACTTTCATAGTCTCGGCCTTTCTCTGCTTTAGGCGCCTATTCGCGTTTTAACGATTGAAGTATCAAATAAAATAAAAAATGTCAAATCGCTAACGCCCTGTAATGCTCACAAGTGAAACTACCCTCAAGAGTTAGGCGAACAAATATTACCCCATGCCAAGGAGATCGTAGAGATCGCTTGGACAATACCTTGCAAGACCGTGCGATTAATGGTCATGAATCAAATATCCAGACGTATCAATCCTGAAATGACGCATCACAATTTGTTTGTGTCACTTACCTAAAGATGCTGAAACTACCAACATACACAGAAAAATCAAATATCTTGCCATATTTTTCACGATGTGGTCCCAAAAATATGCGTGTGTAATTTATATACGGAATAAGGTGTCTATCTGGTGAAGCCTGTTCACTACCCGGTAGGTGCTGCTTTATATACAGTAAGAATTAAGAATGGGCGACTGTCTGGTAAGGCATTGTGTGGATTAACAAACGCCGCGACTATAAAAAATGACAAAATAAACCTTATGCGCGAGGCGGCATTCGTAGTCTGCCGTCCGTGTCACAAGTATGAGCAACTACTGTACGGTCGCGTAAAGAAGCATTTTTCTATTAACAATGGATATTTTTGTAAATACTTGCTTAGATCATATTTTCTTATAATAATTCTATGCCGGATTTTGCGGCAAATCTCATTTTTATTATCGTCACTGTATACTACAGTTAGCCTAACGCTTTTAAACCCATAAAATTTCTTTTTAGAAGCTGCTGGGCAACTTTGCCTTGTTTTGCCTTCGTCACGCTGTCAACGACTTTATCCAGTGCGATTTTTCTTATCTAATGAAAGTGGCGTGCAGGAAGACAAATTTTGTTAAATATAAAATTTTGTTAAAAATGAAATTGTAAAATTGAACTGTTTTGTTTTTTAGCAAGAAGCAATTGAGGTCTAATTAGTGTAATTTTCATCCCATCAAACTGTAGACTAGATCTAAAGCGAGCAGGAAAGATGTGATATCACCACACCTAACTGTGGCAGCAGTGTTCACTTCTGCCGCAGCAACATACAACACGCCCTTAATTACTGCCTTAGTATTTGTAAGACTGAGACATCATGACTATAATTTCGTGTATTTCACAAAACATAACGGATGGCCTAAATAACAATGTGACGAATTATTTCTAATTGCAGGTCCAATACAAAAGAAATTTCAAAAGAAATATACATCGTTAGCAAAAACAAATTATGGACATCAAAACGCATGCTGTGGCATTGAAATTAATGATTGGGGCACTGCTATGAAAAGTAAAACTAAATTTGCTGTATCCACATCTTTTTAAATTCATTTTGTGCTCTTTTGAAATAATGCATTAACCCAAAGTGATTTGAAGCCAAATGAAGAGAAGTAAAAAAAAAAAAAACTTCCACAAGGACTACAAGATATGTATACATGTAAACGAAATGAAAACATTTACACGATACAAAAGTATCCTCCCCAGATAAGTGAGAACGTCTACATCCAGTCTATATTGTTATCTAGTGCTACCTTGCACTGTAAACTGCACTGAGGCGTAGTAGTAGACTACGGTATAAACATGTATGGACCAGACTTTATACTGACTTTACTTTTTACCCAATAGTTACTAGATGGTGGTTTTTATTAAACGTCCAATAAGACATCAGTTAGAAAGTGGTATAATGATATTATTATGATATCAGCATATTAGTGTAAAGATTGCAACCTAGAAGAGAATTTAGGTGCTTTTAAGCAGTTGAAAAACCTTCCTGGCCTGAGAAGGCACCTACCCATTCCCCAGAAATGACCTGAGATCGCCATGTTGAAGCCTGATATGACATGCCTCCATGTCATAGAAAACCTCACGACCATGGCTGGTCCAGCGCCCGATTCTCATCATGAGCTTTATAAAAATGCTCGCAGGGCCAGCTTGTCTTCACCTAAAGGAACATCAAGCCTTGATATACTGCTGCAGATGGGATTCTCTAGACTGCGGGCGTACGTGTTCAGATTTATTTATTGCAGTATGCCAATGGCTTTGCTGTGTAAATACGGCTTACTGTGGTGTTTGGGAGCCACCCACTCGACCCAGAAGTGCTAGTAGTAGTAGTGCTTTGTTTTGTACTAGTACTAAACGTCAGTTGTTAAGCCCATCTCTATAAGTTGTTTTTATTGTTTTATGAGTGAATATGCGACGAGACAGAAAATCTCGTTTAGAGAGAAACTGCTTACTGCACAATGTAGCGCAGACGTTAAAAGTTACAATGGGTTTGAATTCCTAAGACGGAAGTACGTTGAGTGTATTGATAATTTTGTCTCTTTTACACACAAATTGATACACAGTACACTTAAAATAATATGTGCACCAAGCATCTACATATCTTGGCTTTCTTTGTTCCAAATACGTGCATGAATTATAGCACAGGTGCTGAGCTTTATTTTGTCCTGATTTTAGTGTGCATCATAACTTACTGGTAATTCCTTTTCTCAGCCCGAACCATTTTCAAAAAGGAGTAATGTGCTCTGTACAATCTCTGGCACATAAAGAATATCCTGGGGTATTTAAGCCGATTAACAGTTCTCTGTTTGCATTTTTGGCATTCTAGATCACAAACCTAAAGCTTGAGATCACAAGCGGCTATTTTGTCATATAGCCTGAATATGCATAAATACTAGTAGTTAAGGGAATGCATTTGGTCCAGAGACTTATGCAATATGAGGAAGCACAGCTTGATACAATGTACCAGTATCTTATAAAGCAAAGGCAGTGGAACTTGACATCCTACCCTTGGCTTAATGGGGAACAAGAGGGGGTGGGAGATGATAAATTAAAGTATTTCAGCAAATTTTCCCAAAAAAACAGACATGTAAGTTAAATGTTTAAAGCCTTGTCTTAACATAAAGCATTTTCTTGTTGCCGTTGTGATACAATGTTATATTGATGTCAACGTCANTGGCGTAAATGCCAGACTTTGCCAGACTTGGCCCAGATCTGGCAAGTGTCTGGCAAAATGTGGCATAAATGCCAGACTTTGCCAGACTTGGCCCAGATCTGGCAAGTGTCTGGCAAAATCTGGCCCAGATATTGCCAGACGTTGCCAGATCTGGGCCAGACGTGGGCCAGATTATTGAGGCTGTCTGGGTTGTTTTGCCTTCGTCACGCTGTCAACGACTTTATCCTGTGTGATTTTTCTTATCTAATGAAAGTGGCGTGCAGGAAGACAAATTTTGTTAAATATAAAATTTTGTTAAAAATAAAATTGTAAAATTGAACTGTTTTGGTTTTTAGCAAGAAGCAATTGAGGTCTTATTAGTGTAATTTTCATCCCATCAAACTGTAGACTAGATCTAAAGCGAGCAAGAAAGATGTGTTATCACCACACCTAACTGTGGCAGCAGTGTTCACTTCTGCCGCAGCAACATACAACACGCCCTTAATTACTGCCTTAGTATTTGTAAGACTGAGACATCATGACTATAATTTCGTGCATTTCACAAAACATAACGGATGGCCTAAATAACAATGTGACGAATTATTTCTAATTGCAGGTCCAATACAAAAGGAATTTCCAAAGAAATATACATCGTTAGCAAAAACAAATTTTGGACATCAAAACGCATGCTGTGGCATTGAAATTAATGATTGGGGCACTGCTATGAAAAGTAAAACTAAATTTGCTGTATCCACATCTTTTTAAATTCATTTTGTGCTCTTTTGAAATAATGCATTAACCCAAAGTGATTTGAAGCCAAATGAAGAGAAGTAAAAAAAAAAAAAAAACTTCCACAAGGACTACAAGATAGGCCTATGTATGTAAACGAAATGAAAACATTTACACGATACAAAAGTATCCTCCCCAGATAAGTGAGAACGTCTACATCCAGTCTATATTGTTATCTAGTGCTACCTTGCACTGTAAACTGCACTGAGGCGTAGTAGAGTACGGTATAAACATGTATGGACCAGACTTTATACGGACTTTACTTTTTACCCAATAGTTACTAGATGGTGGTTTTTATTAAACGTCCAATAAGACATCAGTTAGAAAGTGGTATAATGATATTATTATGATATCAGCATATTAGTGCAAAGATTGCAACCTAGAAGAGAATTTAGGTGCTTTTAAGCAGTTGAAAAATCTTCCTGGCCTGAGAAGGCACCTACCCATTCCCCAGAAATGACATGAGATCGCCATGTTGAAGCCTGATATGACATGCCTCCATGTCATAGAAAACCTCACGACCATGGCTGGTCCAGCGCCCGATTCTCATCATGAGCTTTATAAAAATGCTCGCAGGGCCAGCTTGTCTTCACCTAAAGGAACATCAAGCCTTGATATACTGCTGCAGATGGGATTCTCTAGACTGCGGGCGTACGTGTTCAGATTTATTTATTGCAGTATGCCAATGGCTTTGCTGTGTAAATACGGCTTACTGTGGTGTTTGGGAGCCACCCACTCGACCCAGAAGTGCTAGTAGTAGTGCTTTGTTTTGTACTAGTACTAAACGTCAGTTGTTAAACCCATCTCTATAAGTTGTTTTTATTGCTTTATGAGTGAATATGCGACGAGACAGAAAATCTCGTTTAGAGAGAAACTGCTTGCTGCACAATGTAGCGCAGACGTTAAAAGTTACAATGGGTTTGAATTCCCAAGACGGAAGTACGTTGAGTGTATTGATAATTTTGTCTCTTTTACACACAAATTGATACACAGTACACTTAAAATAATATGTGAACCAAGCACCTACATATCTTGGCTTTCTTTGTTCCAAATACGTGCATGAATTATAGCACAGGTGCTGAGCTTTATTTTGTCCTGATTTTAGTGTGCATCATAACTTACTGGTAATTCATTTTCTCAGCCCGAACCATTTTCAAAAAGGAGTAATGTGCTCTGTACAATCTCTGGCACATAAAGAATATCCTGGGGTATTTAAACCGATTAACAGTTCTCTGTTTGCATTTTTGGCATTCTAGATCACAAACCTAAAGCTTGAGATCACAAGCGGCTATTTTGTCATATAGCCTGACTATGCATAAATACTAGTAGTTAAGGGAATGCATTTGGTCCAGAGACTTTTGCAATATGAGGAAGCACAGCTTGATACAATGTACCAGTATCTTATAAAGCAAAGGCAGTGGAACTTGACATCCTACCCTTGGCTTAATGGGGAACAAGAGGGGGTGGGAGATGATAAATTAAAGTATTTCAGCAAATTTTCCCAAAAAAACAGACATGTAAGTTAAATGTTTAAAGCCTCGTCTTAACATAAAGCATTTTCTTGTTGCCGTTGTGATACAATGTTATATTGATGTCAACATTAATTGTGCCCTCATAATGAGGATTTCTGCTGGTTACTGACAACATCCCCCCCTATAAGTTCCAAACTGTATTTTTGTTTTCTTGGGAGCTTTATTTGATAAAAAGGCTACTTGATTTGGAAAAATCAGCAAGATCAGTTTATTTTAACTAAACTTAAAGTTATGGCCATAATCGTGTTTTCTGTGTTTATTTGCTAATATTTTTTGTGATGTTTAACCTCCCCTCCCCAAAGTATCAGTGTTTTAGTTGAAATTTGCTAGTAGGATTTGCTTCGTGAAACAGTAGGTCGAGTTTGAAAAATCATCATGGTTAAAATAACTTGCTGTGAAATATCTGTCTAGTTTAATGTGGTTTTAATTGAGAAACTATGAAAATAAAAAGTTAGGGAGATCAACATGAGCTGTAACATCAGTCTTCATGTAGGGTTGGTTTAAAGGTACCTTATATATTGTATGCAAGGTACACACTTTGTGTTAAGGGTTTAATTACTTTTGACTATTTCTTTAGTCTTCATTGCAAGTTATAAGAATTAAACACAGCTTTATATGCATGTATTCACAAAGTGTCAATATTAACAGTAAGTGTGTTTCCTGTACATGTATAGGTGACACATCGACCTATATATACATATAGCTTCTGCGCACAGCGTCCTTCACCTGCCGTCTGTATTGAGTGAGATTGAACATTTTACTGGTACATCCTGTTCAGGAGCTCAGGCTTCCTAATGATTATTACCTACTGAAGTATAGTTGATAGTGGAAGTGAGAAAGATATTTGTATAAAAGCTTTGTAAAAGTCGCAGTATGATTCCATACAATTTAACATGATTCATAACCTTTTTGCATGTCTATTTTTAAATCATTAGTTTTTCATTTCAGAGAAAAAGCCATTGTTGCAACTGGGGATAGAGGTGGTAATTTAGCTGCAGACTGGTAAGCTAATATTCAACACCTATTTTTTTTATTACTCTTTTCTTTAACTATTTTTTAATCCTCCATATAATTTGAGAATTATTGTTTGCATGCAGGAGATATGTTCCAGTGGAGACCAAATGTGATATTTTGTGTAGAACATACATATTCATTCTATGGAAAACAGAGTATAAATTTATTGCTTGGTTTCTTTAAAAAATTAGAAATTCTGTTTTTTTAGTATTTATTTTTTAAATATAAAACCCCATGTATTAGTATGTAGTAATCAGAGAGTCATCATGTTGATAATTTTAAAATATGATAACAGTTGATACCTGAGGCAGCATCTGTATATCAGTCACTTAGAAAGATTACAACCATCTCATTTTACCAGCTTTCCTGGTATCCTCTAACCAGACTCTTCTGCCATTAGTAATCAGCATTATGCCTACTTGGTATGATTTTGGTATTTTGTGATCGTGCCATACTGTCACGTTGGATAGAGTCAGCACATGGAGGAAGAAATCACTTCATTGTAAAATACCTAGAGTGACCAAGTTAATGGCTTCTTCCAGGTTGCTATCTCACATAAATGACCCCAATCTGGATTTTGATATGCCCAGGGAGTTTGTGTTGTACTTGTGTCCAACAGGTGACCTGGCCACAGATCTTGACCATTACTGGAAAAACACATTAGCACAGTGTGGATGGAATGGGGCACACAACTTTTTACCACACATTACGCTCTGTCCATTCTTCAAGGTGAGTGTGTTTAAAGAATTGCTCTTATTAGCATGTCAGATATAATGAAAAAAAATAGAAAAATATAAATTGAAAAGGGACTGTATACATGCAGAATTGTATCCTGAAGATAGCTATGATTTTTCTTGAAATCCTCATATTTTCTAACTTGTCAATACAATTTGCTCAGTCCTAATCAAAGATGTACATGTAATAATTATGGCAGCATTTTGGAAATAAAAAAATGTTTTCTACAATTTTTATTGTTGGGGTGGCTTTCACAATAATTCCACCATCATGGGCCTCTTTGTTATGTACCAGTTGGGGATAAAATTGAACTTTTATTGGTGAAAACTAAATTATGCATTACATAAAATGCTTCCCATTCTGGAGTCAAACTAAAGAAAAAGAGACCCCTTAATAAATTTGAGACATTGTTTTATTTCCCATTTTTCTAACAACTGCAGATAATAACTCTAATTTATTATATATCCAGTATGTATAATTACACTGAAACTAATATTGCTGTGTCCTTCCAGTTTGTAAGCTTGTTTTATTGCCAAAAAGCACATCACTGTCTCCAGGCTGCTTGGGAAAAATTGAAGAACTATTCCATTTGGTCTTTGTTCTGTTTCTACTTTTAAAATATATTAGGTTCAGTACAGAATTTTTTTCTCATCTCAGACAACTATGTCCATATTTTTTTATATCTGTTGTTCTTTGCCACTGTTTTCTCTAGGTACCTGTGTATATATACTGTTACAGTGTGAAGATATTATAATTAGTAGTAGTGTTATTCGGAACATCTGAGAATAGGGCATTTATGTTCCATATGGGTTCTTTTTATATCAGGTTTACATGGATGACACAAGCAGAGACTTGTAAAAAATACATCATTGTTAAATTATGTAAAATGTTTCTAAAATTAATTAGTTCTTGGAAGATTTTTGTGTGGTTTAGTGTTAAAGATCATCTGGTCTTCAGATCAGCAGTAGTGTCATTTCTTTCAAAAACCACTTGATGAACTTATGATATGGTCAATCAAGTCTTGAAATTTCTTTGGTCAATATCTTAGGACCCATACAGAATGAGTTAGGTCGCAATAGGGAGTGTGCACTAAATCCATGGCAACTCTTGCTGCATGTCATCCGATTTTAATGTTAAAACAGAGGAGCAGGCCTCCTCCTGGCTTGGAGTAGAATCCAGAGAAACAGGTGATTATAGGAGTATGTTGGAAGCGAGTGGAGGTGTGTTAGTCTGTTAATCTGATTGCATTCAGCGAGAGTCCTCATGGGGTTAGTGCACTTTAGATAATGAGACCTAACTCATTCAGAATGGCCCCTTAGGCCCCTTGGCCCCACAGAGATCCGTCATTGTGCTTCTTATTTTTTCCACAGGCAAAAGATTCTCAAGTGCCTCACATCCTGCGTGCAGTAGAAAAACAAAGGGAGAAAAGGTATCCAACACGGGTTGATCTCAATCACTTCACTGCTCCAAACTTCATAGGGTTGTTTGTGGGGGAGAAGTGTGCAGCAGTTCTCAGGAATCTCGTGGCAGAATTTGCAGAAGATGTTCACAAATCAGGTGAGAAATTTTGCATAAGGTATGACAAAGATGACTTGATCATGGTATTTTATATGTAAAAGTTGTAGGCTCACATTTCATGGTCTAACAGCACACATAACCAGCCTACTGAGATTTTGTCCCATGGTAAGGATATCCAACTTGATTACAGTCGCATCTTAATAGTTACCGGTAGAATATCATGTTCAGTTGTTTTAAGTTTGAATTAAAAGTTGACGTAAACCATGATCAAAAAGAAGTGTGTATTGCAGTTTATCCTTACCTGTGCCAAAAGAAATTACTCCAAGATGGACAGTAAAATTATTGCAATTTTGAACTTAAACTCAACATTAATAGGTGTTCAGATGGAGGCCCACCAAAAACAGCTTCACGTCACCCTTGCTTACCAGTATTCCCCTGAACAACATGCACTCCTGGAGAAACTGTCCAAGAACATCAAACTGGACACGCCCACTCGCTGGGACCTCCGACTTTATTCCAGGGATGCTAGAGCTCATGGGACAGAGGTGATACTCTTATTTGTGTGACCACTTACTGAACTTGATTATTATTTTCTTTTTTTTTATTTTGCTTATCTTAATAATATATATTCATTTGCTATACAGTTAAGATACTTGAGCAAGGTTTTTATCTATGAAACCTGCACATTTAACTTAAAACCTGAAATGTGTGTAAACTGTGCATATATGTTTTGAGTTACCACATATAGTGCATGTATAAAATAATTTAATGTGTACAAAAATATTGAAATTACTGAACACTGGGCAAATAGATTAAAGTTTTAAAGTGATATTCTAAATTATTCTTAAGTGACAGACAGTTATGCTACATGTAAAATTATATTTGTAAGAGTAAAATCTGCTATATCATAGATTGCACAAGTATTTGTTATTTTCACTTTACAGTTGTGGTTCCCCTTCCAATTGTGATTGGTAAAGAGGCACTGAATACCAGATATTTTCTTTTTTCAACAATTAACCTGCATGTTCTTCACAGGTACGCCGTGTACTATATGCCTACCAAGCACGACAAGATGATGAGCTGGATCTGATTCTTGGTGACTTCATCTACATGAGTCCACTAGATACAGGAGACCCTGAGTGGAGACAGGGAGTGTCATGGCTGACTGGTTGTAGTGGAAAATTTCCTCTCAATCATACCAGCAGATCCCCAGAATCGAAGACATGGACACTGCATAAGTAAGTAGTAAGGGTGCACCTGCTAATGATAATGGTTTATTTATTTATTTTGTAAAATACAAAATGATTTCAGCTGGGTGTAAAAAGAGATTTCACACAATGTGTCTTGTTTAATGTCTCACAGAAAAAATAAATTAACCGAACTTGTAATGTTCATGACTTGCAGAATTGACTTAATAGTATATCTTTTTCCATATTAATTCAATGAAAGAAGTAGATTGGCTGAAGAAAAATTTAACTGGAAACTTCTTTATTTTGAAGGTCTGGAGCTATCTTGTCAACCACACACTAAAACTTGCTTTCTACATATTTCTTTACAATTATAATACATGAACAAAGTTTTTTTTTTATCCACACAGTATACAAATTCAACTGAAAACCTGAATCATGTACTAATTACATGCTTCATTTTGATATCATTTATTTTCTAGATAATTGAAAAATCGAAACAATTTTGCGACAAAAAATTGTCAGGGATGATTTTTGTATTTTTTGCGCACTGGAATACTGTTTCAAGTATTTGGAGTTTGCAATTTTTCGTTTTTGTTTTTTAATGGTCATACTGTATGGCATATCCTCTGCCAATCAGTCTGATTGAAAGCATCATCCAATTCTGTTGACAGTGATATCTGTGCATTCAGACACACACACACACACACACATTTGTATATGATAGCATTTTTTTCGGGTAGCAATAATTGTGTGTTTGGTTACTGATGTATACAATTTGCGGTTATTTTAACAAAAAGCTGAATTGATTTTGGTTTTAGGTCTGTAGAAGTTATATCAAAGCAGCAACCAACGTCAGCCTCTGGTGAGCACCATGTGGTAGCTGAGGGTTCTAAAGATGTTCTCTATGCTAAGGTCTGTTTAAAAAGCATGGTCACAGAATATATAGATCAAGTTTAAATGAATCTGGCATGGAACTTATATAATGTAAATTGCTTTTTTCTCCAAAATTACTTTATATTAAATGACCACATTGAATACTGAGATAACATCAAATCACATAGAGTCAGCAGCATGTTTTTCTTTTATAATTCCTTATAAAACTTTGTTACTTCAGAATATAAAATATGTGAATACACTAAATAGAAAAGTTTTTGATTTTGAAAATAGAACAACTGGAATGTGTTTTGCTGTCTTCCTCTACATTTAGAGGAAATGAAATTATGAAACAAACCAAAGAACTTTGAATTCAGATATACTAGAGCCTTAATTTATGTCATGCAGTTAATGTAGTTAGATCGTCCGGTACTGTTAAAAGCCTAACACAGGTGTAATTAAAAACCATTGCCAGAGACACACACACAATTGTACATGCTGACATCTCCATAAAAGTGATTTAGGATATCTCAGTTATAGTTATTAAAGAAATTTAAAACATAAAATAAATTTACTCCTAATATGTTTTGAGTTTTTTTAAACTGGATCTGTACAAGAATCTGGTCTTTTGAGATATGGCAATATACTTAAATATATGTCTTAAAGACTTATTGTGTCAATGACAGGTTGGGTTTTAGCAAGATACACAATAGATTTGACTTTTTTCAGTCACATTTGTTGGGCAGAACTGCACCATTGGAGTTAGGTTTTAATGAAATACTTATTAATATATAAAGCAATGTTAGAATAAAATTACAATTTTATCTTAAAGTCTTTATTTGATAGCTTTCTTTACTCAGAACTACCAGTATTGTACTCAGAATGAAAAAATTGAATTGACCCTTCCATTTTTTTCTTTGAGTTTGGTCATTTAATCCCATTTTAGGTTTAAACCAGGGCTTTTGCCCAATTTTGTTTTGTTTTTCTCATAACTGTTGCATAGCAATTGCACCTTTACCTGTAAATACAGTGTAGCTTATACTGATAACATATGCATGGAATTCTCTCTTTACAACTATTCAGGTGAAATAAACACATCTAAACATTTAAGTTCAACAGTTGTCTAAGAAATATTTATAAAGTAACATTCATTCTCAAATGACTTGTGATCAAATGTAGCCATGACCATGCACAGATACATGTCCATCATATGATAATGGCCTTGAGTATTGAATAATCTTGATAGTATAGTGCAATATAATGTCTGGCACATTTCTCTGCATGCTTGATCTGGTGTTTTTGGTACCTGTGAAGTACAGACTGCTCTATTATTTAACTCCTTAGAGAGAGGTGAATCCTGGCCCATCAGCTTTAGTTTGGATGGTACAATGTAGTTAAGATATTATCTCTACTTGTTGTCATAGAAGTATTTTGTAGTAACTTTACTTTTCTGAAATTGCTGTTAATATTTATGACTAACTTTTTTAATTTCAATTTTAATTAAACCACAGAGATGCATATGCATTTCATGTCCAATACTGGTTATATATAAGTAATGACCCTTACTATTTCATACACAACTTACTGTACTTATAGTAAAGTATAAGGCTTCAGTTACCATTAGTCTTTCCATGTAAGCTATTGCATTTAGTTGTGTGCTTTTTCTGTTGCTTAAAAATCTGCGTAGAACAGGTTTGATAACATGCTATTTAAGGTCTGTTATAGAACATGTATGGGTTGTAAAGAGGACTTACTCTTAGCTGTTTGCAGTTATGACATTTTTCAGTTTAACCCCAAATAATGCTACTGTATCCAGTACATTCAACCATTTAACAGATGCTACGTTTGAATTTTCCCTATTTTGCAGTAAACTATAGTCACAAAAGAAATGCTTAGTATTCATGACAGGTTAACTTCAGTCTTCTGGTTATTTTAAAATTTAGGTTCAGAAGCATCCACCACCTCGTGTTTTGATAGTTGTTCGTCATGGAGAGAGAATGGACCAAAACTTTGGTTACAGTTGGATGGATGGGTGTTATAATGGAGGTGAAATGGTTGTGTTTATTTTGATATGATATTGGAAGATCTGTAAATATTTGTTAATTTGTCCTTTAAGCAATTTGATTTGCCATTTATCTTGGAGTTGTGCGTGTAGTTAATCACCAGAAAGAACACATCTTTTAAGCAACTTCTCATGCAGCAAAAACATTTCGTTAGGAATGCTGAGACATTGAAACTCATTTTTGAAGATGTTCTTTAAATGTATGCAAATAACTTGAGTGTTCAATGTTTATTTTATTAATTTAATATTTATTTTTGTAGGTGTGTATGTCCGTAAAGACCTGAACATGCCTAAAACTATTCCAGTACGGAAAGGTGGCCCCATGGATTACCAGAAAGATTGCCCACTGACAGTGATAGGGACAGTGCAAGCTAAAATGACAGGTACATAAGACAAAATGTACATGTGCAGGTGTCAGTTTAAGAAAAAAGCTTTGACATCTTTTTTTATATCTTACCATAATAATTTGAAAACATGTTGTGTGTGTGTGTGTGTGTGTGTGTGTGTGTGTGTGTGTGGCATTAATAGAGTGGAAACAAATATTTGAATGCCACCCAGGATGAAAGCTGTAAGCTTATGAAAGCTTTTTGTAGCCAGTTGAGTTGATCAAAAAATATCTAAAATGGTTAAGTAATCATTATTTAAATTATCTAAAGGCATATGAGAATGACCTGCCTCTGAATGAAAAGGGCACATGAATTATTCCATGTAGCAAATTTTAATCAAATGGAAAAAAAAGAAAAAAGAACTGACACAAAAGTTACCCGCATAAGCAAAAAGCAGTTCATTTGATTGTATTTGATGTATCATCAATATTTATATTCTTCCAGGTGAGGCTTTGAAGGAACAAGGAGTAACATTCTCACATGTATATGCATCGCCTTCCTTCAGATGTGTTCAGACTGCACACTACCTGTTAAAAGGTGATTATGTCCATTTTTTACTTTAAAAAAGATGAAAATGTCACATATTATACAATTATCAGTTCAACGCGTAATAAATTTTTGTTAAGTATTAAAAAAGATATCAAAAATTAGTAATTGTCTAAACTTGGTAAGATTTTTTGACTGTTTATTCTGTGCCTAAGGCTCTATTCCCATAGATTTTAGATCGATCTATCCCTGCAGGGAGTCTCACTAGATTACTTTCAGTTAATCCGACTTAAATGTCCGTCCCGCCTACTACAAGCTGTAAGGGGGTAATTAACTTTCGTGTCCGCCCGGCTGACAGCTATTTAGCGTGAACCCCCANTTTGGAACGGTGGTCTGAAAACTCGCTTTGACGAATCATGAGGCGAGTTTCAATTGGGCACACTTTCTTGCGTTCGGAAAATTTAAATTGTGCCCAAGGTGTGTTTAGCGATCGTTCGTACAGAACGGAGACAAAAAATTCAGATTCAGAGAAAAAACGTTTCGTTCGTAATTATTGCGGCGTTCGTATAGATTGGAGAATTACCGTAAGTCCAAGATGGACAGTAAAATTATTGCAATTTTGAACTTAAACTCAACATTAATAGGTGTTCAGATGGAGGCCCACCAAAAACAGCTTCACGTCACCCTTGCTTACCAGTATTCCCCTGAACAGCATGCACTCCTGGAGAAACTGTCCAAGAGCATCAAACTGGACACGCCCACTCGCTGGGACCTCCGACTTTATTCCAGGGATGCTAGAGCTCATGGGACAGAGGTGATACTCTTATTTGTGTGACCACTTACTGAACTTGATTATATTTTCTTTTTTTTTATTTTGCTTATCTTAATTATATATATATATATATATATATATATATATATATATATATATATATATATATATATATATTCAATTGCTTTACAGTTAATATACTTGAGCTAGGTTCTTATCTATGAAGCCTCTACATTAAACTTAAAACCTGAAATATGTGCAAACTGTGCATATATGTTTTGAGTTACCACATATAGTGCATGTATAAAATAATTTAGTGTGTACAAAAATATCAAAATTACTGAACACTGGGCAAATAGATTAAAGTTTTAAAGTGATATTCTAAATTATTCATAAGTGACAGACAGTTATGCTACATGTAAAATTATATTTGTAAGATAGAAAAAAGTGTAAAATCTGCTATATCATAGATTGCACAAGCATTTGTCATTTTCACTTGACAGTTGTGGTGCATATGTGATTGGTAAAGAGGCACTGAATACCAGATATTTTCTTTTTTCAACAATTAACCTGCATGTTCTTCACAGGTACGTCGTGTACTATATGCCTACCAAGCACGACAAGATGATGAGTTGGATCTGATTCTTGGTGACTTCATCTACATGAGTCCACTAGATACAGGAGACCCTGAGTGGAGACAGGGAGTGTCATGGCTGACTGGTTGTAGTGGAAAATTTCCTCTCAATCACACCAGCAGATCCCCAGAATCGAAGACATGGACACTGCATAAGTAAGTAGTAAGGGTGCACCTGCTAATGATAATGGTTTATTTATTTATTTTGTAAAATACTAAATGATTTCAGCTGGGTGTAAAAAGAGATTTCACACAATGTGTCTTGTTTAATGTCTCACAGAAAAATAAATTAACTGAACTTGTAATGTTCATGACTTGCAGAATTGACTTAATAGTATATCTTTTTCCTCACTTATAACATTAATTCAATGAAAGAAGTAGATTGGCTGAAGAAAAATTTAACTGGAAACTTCTTTATTTTGAAGGTCTGGAGCTATCTTGTCAACCACACACTAAAACTTGCTTTCTACATATTTCTTTACAATTATAAGCATGAACAAGTTTTTTTTTATCCACACAGCATACAAATTCAACTGAACACCTGAATTATGTACTAATTACATGCTTCATTTTGATATCATTTATTTTCTAGATAATTGAAAAATCGAAACAATTTTGCGACAAAAAATTGTCAGGGATGATTTTTGTATTTTTTGCGCACTGGAATACTGTTTCAAGTATTTGGCGTTTGCAATTTTTCGTTTTTGTTTTTTAATGGTTATACTGTGTGGCATATCCTCTGCCAATCAGTCTGATTGAAAGCATCATCCAATTCTGTTGACAGTGATATCTGTGCATTCAGACACACACACACACACACACATACACACACACACACACACACATTTGTATATGATAGCATTTTTTTTCGGGTAGCAATAATTGTGTGTTTGGTTACTGATGTATACAATTTGCGGTTATTTTAACAAAAAGCTGAATTGATTTTGGTTTTAGGTCTGTAGAAGTAATATCAAAGCAGCAACCAACATCAGCCTCTGGTGAGCACCATGTGGTAGCTGAGGGTTCTAAAGATGTTCTCTATGCTAAGGTCTGTTTAAAAAGCATGGTCACAGAATATATAGATCAAGTTTAAATTAATCTGGCATGGAACTTATATAATGTAAATTGCTTTTTTCTCCAAAATTACTTTATATTAAATGACCACATTGAATACTGAGATAACATCAAATCACATAGAGTCAGCAGCATGTTTTTCTTTTATAATTCCTTATAAAACTTTGTTACTTCAGAATATAAAATATGTGAATACACTAAATAGAAAAGTTTTTGATTTTGAAAATAGAACAACTGGAATGTGTTTTGCTGTCTTCCTCTACATTTAGAGGAAATGAAATTATGAAACAAACCAAAGAACTTTGAATTCAGATATACTAGAGCCTTAATTTATGTCATGCAGTGAATGTAGTTAAATCGTCCGGTACTGTTAAAAGCCTAACACAGGTGTAATTAAAAACCATTGCGAGACACACACACACAATTGTACATGCTGACATCTCCATAAAAGTGATTTAGGATATCTCAGTTATAGTTATTAAAGAAATTTAAAACATAAAATAAATTTACTCCTAATATGTTTTGAGTTTTTTTAAACTGGATCTGTACAAGAATCTGGTCTTTTAAGATATGGCAATATACTTAAATATATGTCTTAAAGACTTATTGTGTCAATGACAGGTTGAGTTTTAGCAAGATACACAATAGATTTGACTTTTTTCAGTCACATTTGTTGGGCAGAACTGCACCATTGGAGTTAAGTTTTAATGAAATACTTATTAATATATAAAGCAATGTTAGAATAAAATTACAATTTTATCTTAAAGTCTTTATTTGATAGCTTTCTTTACTCAGAACTACCAGTATTGTACTCAGAATGAAAAAATTGAATTGACCCTTCCATTTTTTTCTTTGAGTTTGGTCATTTAATCCCATTTTAGGTTTAAACCAGGGCTTTTGCCCAATTTTGTTTTGTTTTTCTCATAACTGTTGCATAGCAATTGCACCTTTACCCAGGGGCGGATTCAGAGATATTTTCTGACAGTCTTCCAAATTATCTTTGTTGATCCGTTCTTCATTTTTGACCGTCTTCCGACAGAAAAAATTGGATACCCGTCAATGTAAACTTGAAAATCTGACCGTCTTCCGGAAGACCCAGAAGACGCCCTAAATCCGCCCCTGTTTACCTGTAAATACAGTGTAGCTTATACTGATAACATATGCATGGAATTCTCTCTTTACAACTATTCAGGTGAAATAAACACATCTAAACATTTTAGTTCAACAGTTGTTTAGAAATATTTATAAAGTAACATTCAATCTCAAATGACTTGTGATCAAATGTAGCCATGACCATGCACAGATACATGTCCATCATATGATAATGGCCTTGAGTATTGAAGAATCTTGATAGTATAGTGCAATATAATGTGTGCACTTTGCACTCCGTCTGGCACATTTTCTCTGCATGCTTGATCTGGTGTTTTTGGTGCCTGTGAAGTACAGACTGCTCTATTATTTAACTCCTTAGAGAGAGGTGAATCCTGGCCCATCAGCTTTAGTTTGGATGGTACAATGTAGTTAAGATATTATCTCTACTTGTTGTCATAGAAGTCTTTTGTAGTAACTTTACTTTTCTGAAATTGCTGTTAATATTTATGACTAACTTTTTTAATTTCAATTTTAATTAAACCACAGAGATGCATATGCATTTCATGTCCAATACTGGTTATATATAAGTAATGACCCTTACTATTTCATACACAACTTACTGTACTTATAGTAAAGTATAAAGCTTCAGTTACCATTAGTCTTTCCATGTGAGCTATTGCATTTAGTTGTGTGCTTTTTCTGTTGCTTAAAAATCTGCGTAGAACAGGTTTGATAACATGCCATTTAAGGTCTGTTATAGAACATGACTGGGTTGTAAAGAGGACTTACTCTTAGCTGTTTGCAGTTATGACATTTTTCAGTTTAACCCCAAATAATGCTACTGTATCCAGTACATTCAACTATTTAACAGATGTTACAGATTTTACTGATTTTGTAGTTAACTGCAGTCACAAAAGAAATGCTTAGTATTCATGACAGGTTAACTTCAGTCTTCTGTTTATTTTAAAATTAGGTTCAGAAGCATCCACCACCTCGTGTTTTGATAGTTGTTCGTCATGGAGAGAGAATGGACCAAAACTTTGGTTACAGTTGGATGGATGGGTGTTATAATGGAGGTGAAATGGTTTCATTTATTTTGATATTATATTGAAGAATCTGTAAATATTTGTTATTTTGTTGTCCTTTAAGCAATTTGATTTGTCATTTACTTTGGGAGTTGTGTGTGTAGTTAATCACCAGAAAGAACACACATCATTTAAGCAACTTCTCATGCAGCAAAAATATTTCGTTAGGAATGCTGAGACATTGAAACTCATTTTTGAAGATGTTCTTTAAATGTATGCAAATAAATTGAGTGTTCAATGTTTATTTTATTAATTTAATATTTATTTTTGTAGGTGTGTATGTCCGTAAAGACCTGAACATGCCTAAAACTATTCCAGTACGGAAAGGTGGCCCCATGGATTACCAAAAAGATTGCCCACTGACAGTGATAGGGACAGTGCAAGCTAAAATGACAGGTAAATAAGACAAAATGTACATGTGCAGGTGTCAGTTTAAGGAAAAAAAGCTTTGACATCTTTTTTTATATTTTACCATAATAATTTGAAAACATGTCGTGTGTGTGTGCGTGCGTGCGTGCGTGTGTGTGTGTGTGGCATTAATAGAGTGGAAACAAATATTTGAATGCCACCCAGGATGAAAGCTGTAAGCTTATGAAAGCTTTTGGTAGCCAGTTGAGTTGATCAAAAAATATCTAAAATGGTTAAGTAATCATTACCAAAATAATCTAAAGGCATATGAGAATGACCTGCCTCCGAATGAAAAGGGCACATGAATTATTCCATGTAGCAAATTTTTAAGCAAATGGAAAAAAAGAAAAAAGAACTGACACAAAAGTTACCCACATAAGCAAAAAGCAGTTCATTTGATTGTATTTGATGTATGATCAATATTTATATTCTTCCAGGTGAGGCTTTGAAGGAACAAGGAGTAACATTCTCACATGTATATGCATCGCCTTCCTTCAGATGTGTTCAGACTGCACACTACCTGTTAAAAGGTGATTATGTCCATTTTTTTCTTTAAAAAAAGATGAAAATGCCACATATTATAGAACTATCAGTTCAACGCTTCATACATTTTTGTTAAGTATTAAAAAAGATATCAAAAATTAGTAATTGTCTAAACTTGGTAAGTTTTTTTGACTGTTTATTCTGTGCCTAAGGCTCTATTCCCATAGATTTTAGATCGATCTATCCCTGCAGGGAGTCTCACTAGATTACTTTCAGATTATCCGACTTAAATGTCCGTCCCGCCTACTACAAGCTGTAAGGGGGTAATTAACTTTCGTGTCTGCCCGGCTGACAGCTATTTAGCGTGAACCCCCAGGGAGTTAGGTCGATCTAAAGTAGGTCGATCTAATCTATGGAAATGGGGTGTTATATTTAAGTTCTGCTTCTTTTTCTCTTAGGTTTAGGGCAGGACTGTGTCATCAGAGTAGAAGATGGTCTGTTTGAGTGGTGTGGCTGGTACAAACCAGGGATGCCTGTGTGGTTTACTCCAGCTGAATTACGGCAGAATGGGTACAATGTAGACTCCCAATATAGCCCCCATTATCCAGCCAAAAAATTGACTCCAGATGAGAGCATAGATGACTACTACCAGAGGTGCTACCATGTTACCAAGACCATGCTAAAAAGTCATGAAAAAGAAGGTATACTGTTTAAAAAATTTAAATCCTCTTTCTTGTTTTTTTTTTTTTTTTTTTTTTTTTTTTTTTTTTTTTTTTTTTTTACAGATATTCTAAAGATATTGGTCAAAGTACTCAATTTTAGTGATGTTTGAAGTTTAAGCAGCCAGATGTTACATATTAATTTTTCAGTTATCATTTAGATAATTAAAATCTGAAAACAAAGATAAAAAGAAAAACAAAAAAGACATATATCAGTTCTTCAATTTGTTCATTCATCTTGAATTTAATTGTGAAAATGCAATAAAGACAGAGGAAGAGATAAATTATAGAAGATGAATTAAAAAAACGTTTCCCATCTGAATACAAATGATTTAAAATATGAAGAAAGGGGAGGGGGCAAGCAGGAGGGGGAGATGAAATATTCTATTGTTCCTGATACTATAAAAACCATATTCATAAGTGACATGTTTATAACACCTGCATCTTGCTCCTTCATCTGCATAGATGTCCTCTATCTGCTGAATAGACAGCATGAGCCAGACACCCCTGCCTGCTGATTTTATTTTTCTCATCTAGCTATTTGTGGTTACCCATTATCATTTGAAAACTGTTAAGACATACAGTGGGGGAATGGCTGTTAGTTATCATAGACCACCAGACAGCATTATGATTTGATTGCTCAGTTTAGCCCCTGACCATCAAATATATATTAACTTTAGTGCATATAATATCAGTTTCAATATGCAAAAACAATGTTTTTTTGTGGTTAGTACATGTATGTTCATTTTTTCTCAATTCAAATAACTTGTATAGATTTAGTTATGGTTTCATGTCATGACCTTACTATTTCTATCTTCCTTCTGAATTTAACAAGCATGTATCTCTGTGTAATAGATCAACCTAACATATCGGGATATTTTCTGCACCTATTAATATGCAGGATTTATGGAATCTTATCACCAGATATTTTCTTAGAAAACCTTTACCTGTACCTGTTGTAACTGGTTTTAAAGCAGAAACTTAATGGGGGGGGGGGTGTCTTGGTGATATGAGCCAAATTAAACACATTTAAAATGTGTTGTAATATATTCAGTTTATGACTCTAAGCAAAACTGATCTTTTTCCTTTAGCTTGCACTGTAAATAATGCGCAAACTGGCGCATCCAATAATTACTGCTTCAAATAACAAGACTGGGAAAACAATGGAGTGTTTTATTTTATTTTCTAAAATTGATCTCAAAAACCTTTCATGCAACTATTATTTTCTCAACAGATTCCTGTTAAGTATGTCTTGGTATTAATGAGGACATTTGGGAAATTTCAGGGAATATTCTTTTTTTTTTTTTGCTATAAAAGTGTATATCTACACAGCCCAGACCCTCTTTAAGGTTATAAATATGTGTGAATCTCTTTGGCAAGCTACAATAGAAATGAAAAATGGCAATCACTTAGGGTGAATTGAAGATGATCTGATGGTCAAATTCCTCAGCAGGTGTATTGAGAGATATTTTAAAAAACTTGGTCCTAATTGCATTCTTTTTATTAGAGTCCAAGTTAAATACCAATAAAACGTTTCCACATATTCCAGATTGTTTGGAACTTGTTTCAATATAACATGTAATCAATACACAGCAGTGGTAATATTTTGGTGCACATTTTGAACAACTCTTAAATCTTTGAACCTAATAGTTTTGCATTCATGTTGCATGAATTCTGTGTGATAACATGAAACTGTACCCTCTGTTTTATTCATCAGTTCATTTCTCCTTTTTTACAAATTTGTGTGCATTGCATTTGCCGTTTGTTTCAGGTAATGTTCTCATAGTGGCTCATGCCGCCTCCCTGGACGTGTGTACTCGTCAGCTTGTGGGTGGGCAGTCAAGAGAATCTGGTCCCTTTCACACCATTGTGAGACAGGTGCCCTACCTCGGTCTGTGTGCATGTCAGACGAATAAAGACGGAAAGTGGGAGATTGTCCCCCCACCTACTCCTACTCTTGCTCATGGGGGCACACACAGTTTTAACTGGAGATGCCTTTTGGGTCAATAAAGCTGGACTGACTGGTAGTTGTTTTTGTTGTTTACGACAGGTGCCTCCTCCTGCTTTCCCTCCACTACTTAATAATAAATTACCAGAACACATACAGCTAATATGCTAGTGTTCTCTTTAGAGTCTCAGTGATTGATGAGTTCTGTAACATATACATGTATATCCACACAAAAGTATCTGAGCCTATTTAGTTATTCAACCCTATGAGCAGGTGCTATATCCTTTTTTCTCCTTCTTCTTTTTGAAAGTTTTACTTCAAATTTACTGGATGTGCTTGTTTGGTAATCTCTATGTATGGATATAAGTTTGCAATTATTTTTGTGATATGGTAAGTTAACTATTATGTTTGTGTTATTCTACTCAAGTGTTATATATTACATTAATATGAAGTTGTAATGATGGTACACATACATGTACTTACTTAGCAGCAGGCATGGATCCAGCTTTTTAAAATGTTATACTATGGTTTCTTAATACTTAGAACAATGACATGATTGCTGATGGCAGGAACAGTGCATCCATGATTGTGATGAAGGGTTCCTGGTTAGAGGTAATGCAGTCAAGAGACTGTCTAAAACTCAAGATTGCGGTCAGTAATCATCCAAGCAGCAGAAGGCATATTGGTCAATATTGGTTTTGAACTGATGGATGGAAACACCTCTCTTTCTTCCTCTCTTCACTTTTGTTAGGCTCAGTTTACATGATAAACAAAACAATTGTGGCAAGTTCTTTCCATATGTTCACTCTCAATTTTTAGGTGGTAATATATTAATTGTGGGTCATGCAGGGACAGCTGAAGTGTGTACTCGCCAGCTGACAGGGCACTACCCACGCCCTAAGAAGGCCTTCCTAGCCATTGCCAAGCAGATGCCCTTCTGCGGCATATGCTTCTGTGAAGAAACTCTGCAGGGGAAATTTCGAAAGTGGTGCATTCAGGAGCCCCCTGTCCCCATTCTCAGGCATGGACACAATATTGAGTATAACTGGAAGATGTTGTTATGATAAAAGGGAAATACAAGCCAAACAAAGGTCTAAGACTGGTCATCTGGTCATAAATCACATGTAGAAACAGTTAAAGAGTTCTAAATATTCATGCACTTGTAGCTAACTAGTAATCAGGGACATTTGCATTGGTCAACCTCTCATATATATATATATATATATATATATATATATATATATATATACTATGGTCTGACTGTGTTGGTTATACTGACTGTATTGCTTGGACAACCCATTTTTATTGTATTTACAGTTAGAACTCGCACATATTTTGTGACAAGATGTATTTTTGGCATATGTTTTGCCTTTGTTGAAAGTATGTAGTACATGTAGGTAGTATATTGTGGCTGTGCCATGAATTAAGGATCTTTACTTTTGCAGCTGCTGGTTTGTTTCAGCTTGCATTCTCTAAAAGCTTATGTTTTATTCAGTTGCACCGATTCTAATAATGAAAAAATTAAGAATTTACTGCTTAAATATCCTTTTCAAAGTTACACAAGTGTGTAGGTTAAAAAAAGCATCAGAGTCCCATTCTGTCATTTCTGACAATTAGTTTATTCAATATGCTAACATCGAAATACTCAAGTAAACTGACCTCAGTAAAAATACATAGCTATGTATAAGTTTATTTACATAGCTATAGATAAGTTGAATAAAGGTATCACAATATTTGAGTAAAATTTTATGTTGTTACTTTCTATATTTTTGAGTTAAAAACCTCGCCAACTAGGGAAAATTTGCTTCCCAATCCTGCATTAAAGAGATATTAAATTACAATATATAGTATTGGATTTTCCTGTGTACTGCAAACATGAGTAAGTTGAAGGGTATGTGCATGTGGATTTAATTCAAATGTCACATAAGTAAATGGATCATTATCAGGCTTTGGATAATAATGAAAAGAAATTCCCCAAAGAAAAAATAAGACAAAATATCATGCATCCTGACAAGTGTCACTGAAAAAATATATGCATAACACCCCTACTGTATTGAAATCTGATATAAGCTTCAAAAGTATGGAACGTCAATAAAAACAACGGAAAAAGCCTGGAAGAGACTTTTTTTTAAATTTTTTGAGAAGATTAACAAAAAAGTTGTTCTTTGTTGAACTAGATATTCTGCAATCAGAACCATCTGAAGTCTGTAAAATGTAAAGCTTCAGTTTCCATTTTCTCATTACGAACACACGATTCACGTGCCCTGCTAATTAAGTACTTTGATCTCATTTCAACCCTACTCTTTTATACTGCAGGATGGTAAACTGACAGAACTAAACGTCTCAGTGATGTTCTGGATGAGGCATATGTGTGTAGGGTGGAAGATTATCATTAATGAAAACATCAGTATCCTAAATGTAGTGAGAACACACTGAAAATTAAAAAAAAATTAAGAATAACTCAGTGAAACAACGAATATAGAAAGAAGTCTTTTTTTTTTTGTTATGATTTAATAGGTCCAAAGTACCGGTAAGGGTGTCTGCCAACCAACGGCGATACTGTACTGCATGTATCTGGAGACACAGAACTGTAGAAAAAACGAGAGGTTCAATATACCGAAATCATTCGCCATGTGGTGTTAGTCATTTTTAGGATGTTATTTTGTTTTGCATTATCTCCTAGATACATTTCTCTTGGTAGGCGCTAAGTGCTGGTATGTGTGGGATTTATCTTGTTAAAACAATCACCATAACCAATTCCACCAGGCGTAGTTTACGAAGCACTTTCACTAAAAGCTCTTGCTACTGAGGGCGTTAAAACACATCTCGGCTCCACAGGTCTGGAGTGGCAAATTGTGTTTAATACTTGCACAATGGAAGATGAACGCACACAACGTGGAATAATTTGGTTCGGCGGCTTTCAAGTAGGTTGCGTGGTGAATATAATTGAACGACAATGCCACTTGCTGATAGTCACTTATGGATTTACTTATTTATGAAGTTACTTTCCGAAACTCTCACTAAGAGACCAGCCAGTACCAGACAAACAACTGTTACTTAATTACATACCATACATACATACATTTACTTAATATTCTCTAATGCTTACCGTCTCGTAAATGGTTGTATATAGCAATTATCTGCAGTTATTTTTACATAGAATAACAAGAAAAAAGAAAAAAAAACATTAAGTGAATGTTCAAGATTAAAAGAAACAATATTAAGTGTTTTGATGTCGTTGAGATCTACTGCTACCATTATATAAATAGGAATTTCACAAATCTTTTGGTTCGTCTTTGCTGGTATTGTCAATAACCAGTTGTCTTCGAGGTGGGCAAAATGTGGTAATGTAGGAATCTGGCATGTTTTTCGCCTTTTGTAATGTGCACGTGGGCAGCAGGAAATAGATGGTAATTCAAAGCCAAATTCTATGCTATCTGTGGTCTAAGATATGACTTTTTTCTTACTATTCTGAACGGTAATATGAACAGTTATGAATAGAAAGGAAAATTGCCTCTCTTTGCGGTCGTCGAGTAAATGGTAACATGCTCAAATGACAGCTTATATAACATAAACAATTCCCAATAGAACATGTAATGCTGAAATGCATCTAATTCTCGAACATTTGGAATTTTGAGACGAAATTCTGTGATTTCAATTCAGTTTTGACACTTTTTCCAGAGTGCTTTAAACGTTAAATTCCTTAACTCATGCATTCAAACTCTCCTATCCAAATTCCTATCCTAGTTAATTATTTGAATATTTGTCTCTCTAATTAATTTCATTACCTTCGCTCAAACACGTGATGCCGTTTTTTTTTTTTTTTACATCTAATGATTTCTAAATGTTAAAACATGGTACATATACATGTAAGTCATACATGGCTGTTAATTCTTCATACAAAATTCACCCACTATGTCAGTTTGTGAATATAAAAGTATGTAATATGGATATTCTTTTTATCAAAATGCTTCTAAATGATGTACCATCATGCTTTAAAAGAAGGGTTAGTAATTTCATTTAGTACTTTGTCTCTTAAAGAATTCGTAGGAAAAGGAAGCCACATATGGGGATCTAGAATCACTTGTCATGTATTTACACATCTTTTAAATCTTTTAAAATAAAGATTAAAACTAAAAATATTTTAGCTGTTAAAAATAAGAACTGTTGGAAATGTAAAATCTGCTGGTACATGTAACAAGGGCCCAGAAAAAGGCTTCCTTCCCACTGCAGGCTGTTAAGTCCCGGCAGATTTACGGGTCTTACAAAGAATACAAACTGTTGATAATATTTTTAGTTAATCAAACATAAACCTCCTTGTGCGTGATATATGCAGCACTCATCATCTGGTACGCCAATTCCTGATATTCAGGTTCCCCTAATAACGCTCGACAAAAGACATCATATGCCTGCGATCCCCGGTGACGTAGGATGTCAAGGAGGAGCTCTATACGCCCATCATGGGATGACTTTTGCATTATTGATATGTAATGGGGCGTGGACACAATTCCGGCTTGGTGAAGTGCGGGGATCACCTTGGTAACCTCGACGATTGACAGGAGGTCCGTCTTATACATCTCTATCAATGACCTGTGGTGTTTATCCATGCCTGAAATGACATTTATAGGTTCATTATACTATAGTCATTAAAAGACGTATAATATGCAAATATCGAACGACTAAGAGTACAGTGAAATGTATCACTCAAAAATATTATGAAACCTACTGAATCTAGCTGCTTACTTGGGTAGATCGTATGTGAGGACTGTTATACGTTATGTGTTATTTAACCAAAAATTGCCAGCCGGGGATAGTGACGGTGCATCTTCAAGTAGAGTCAAGGTCAAATAAGATGTGACATATCTGAAATCAAACTTTCTTATCGCCCACTGAAGTTTTGACTAGATAAAAAACCGCTTATTGCTGCAAATCAATACCGTCCTCAAATTTAATACCACGGAAGACTATCGGAAGCAGTATTACTTAAAACTGCTGTACACCATTCTATTCTGTTAAACTATAGTATTTTAGTCAAGTAAAATGTATACTAGGTCGTTATGAAGAAAGGAAAGGTAAAATTCACACAAATGTTGGCATGGCTATTTGCTTTTCTAATAAAAACGAATAACAGACAAAAGACTTGGGTCGACGCGTTTTGTAATTAAACGAATTGTTTTAATTATCTTTTGATGAAACGTTTTTCTTAATCTTGTTCTATTGCTGACATAAAAATACGTACATGCGTATTTCTCGAGCAGATTATGTATGATATTCCCGTCTTTTGGGCAGTGGTCTAGAGCTTCTTTCCCCGTCTTGTCTTTAGCAATTGGGTCGGCACCGTTGTCCAGAAGACATTTTGCCATCAGATAAAGCCCTCTTCGACACACCTTCATCAAAGGAGTCTCCCCATTAATGTCTTTTGAATTGACATCGATGCCCTCCTGTATCAACAGCCGGACACATGTCAACTTGGGATCGTCTGCTTCACAGCAGTGGTGAAGAGCGTCTCGCAGTTGGTGATCAACAGCGTTCACTTTGATGCCGCGTTTGAGAAGCGCAGATAAAAAGAACATGTGTCCGTTACGACATGCCTCCATGGCGGGGGTGACCAAGTTGTTGTCCGGTGAATCGATGGAGGAGCCGTAGAGGGATAAAAGTGAGAGAAGTTCGGCGTCTCCCGTAAGAGCACAGTAGTGCATTACATTGCGACCGTTGGCGTCCGTCACATTTATTTTTCTAACAGCGAGATTAAGTTGGTTCAGGAGGTAATCGACTATTTGAATGCTTCCTGTTTCTGTGGCCGCCATGAGAACGGTTCGTCCATCGTTATCTATGTCAAACGTTGCACCGTGTTCTATCAAAAACTGCACAAGACAAATGTCCCTTTTGTCAATTGCAGTGAATAAAGCAGTTCTACCATCTTTGGTCTTAGCGTTGACATCCACATGCATTTGGCTGACAATGTATTTCACTGCTTTCATATTTCCAATCCTGCATGCAGAGATGAGTATAGTATCTCCTTGGTCATCGAAGTCTACTCTGCGGTCATAGTTGTGACCAAACCGACGCAATAAGTTCACCTGTCCCTTAATGGCCATATGGTGCAACGCTGTCCGCCCGTGGACATCCTTGAAATTGACGAAACTGCCACCATTAGAACTGCATTCAATTATAACTTGAAGAATGTCTTGGTATTGGCTTTCTGTGCAAATGGCAAGAATCGTCTTGCCTTCAACATTTGGCAGCACTTTAACTTCGTTGCGCAAAAGAAGTTTGATGCAAGACGTGCAACCAGATTTCAAAGCATAGAACAAAGCATTTTCGCCTTTTGCGTCAGTGGCATTGACTTTTAAGCCGAGTTCTTGAGAGTGATTGAGAAGGTATTCCAGAACATTCACGTGTCCTTTTTCTGCAGCGACCATAAGTAAACTTTTCCCGTTGATATCGTCTGTCACCCCAACTCCATTAAGAAGCAACGACTCCAAGATCTCAACGTATCCCGCCGACGACGCATAATAAAGGGCATTTTGGCCGTTGTCGTCTTTTTTGTTAATATCAAGCCCTATCATTATATCATTTTCCAGTAAATATTTGACAATTTCTCTATGTCCGAGAGATGAAGCAGTCATAAGTATTGTTTGGTTCTTAAAGTTGCATTCAACTGCTATGCCCTGTTTTATAAGCAGTTGACAGGCATCGATTTTGCCTCCTTTTACAGAGTAGAAAAGGGCGTTGTTTCCTTCCTTGTCCCTCGCGGAGAGTTCTACGCAAAGAAGAGAAGCTCTGTCAACTAGGTATGTGATGAAGTTCAGAAGCCCGCGTTCGGCGCAGTGCATTAAAACTGTCGTTCCCCCCGCTGTAGGTGTGAGAAGTGCACCCTTTTTCACGAGAAGTTTAAGCATATCCAGGTTGTTCACTTGCGCGCTGTAGAATGCAGCATTCCAGCCGTCATGGTCGCGTTGGTTTAAGTCAATTTGTAGAAGGTGACGATTGTCCAAAATGAACTGTGCCATATCGGAGTCGTTTCTTGCAATAGCCTGCATAAGAATGGAACGTCCATCTAGCGCCTCTTCCACGGGGATATCATTGGCAATTAATTTTCGGCAAATATCCACGTGTCCTCCAGCGACACCATAAAACAGACAATTCCAGCCGTCTTTGTCTTTTGCGCAAGTGTCTATTTTAAGAGTATCCGCGTGATCCAAAAGGTACTGTGTCAAGGATTGTTGTCCTTTGCCTGAAGCTTGCATCAAAAGAGACACTCCGTCATTGCTGTTTTCGATTTTGACGCCGTACTTAATGAGAAGCTGGAAGACAGACACGTCACCCGAAGTGGCACAGTAGAATAAACAGTTTCTTCCTTTTGTGTCCTTTTCATTTATGTCTATACCCAGATCTCTGGCACTTTTGAGAAGGTGCTCCATGACCTTGACATTGGGTTTTAAAGCGGAAAGCATAAGAAGATTTCTGCTTTCGGCCGCGTATTCAATTGGCACTCCTTTCTTTGTCAGAGTATCAAACAGTTCAAGTTGTTCTCCTTCACAGCAATAATAAAGGGCATTTCTTCCATTTTTGTCCTTTTCAGTGATGTTTATGTTGACAGATTGCGCGTTTTGCATGAGGAAAAGAACTATTGCCGTGTGACCATGGTAACACCCTTCCATTAAGATTGTTACACCGGAAAAATCAGGCTGTGGCTTAACACCTTTGTTTAACAACATCTGAAGACAATCCAAATGTCCCGCCGATACGCTGTAGAACAGACAGTTGCGACCAAGCTTATCAGTTTGCTGTTTATCAACCCCATTAGATAACAGGTATTCAACAACATGTTTGTTTCCCGCGTATGCAGCCAGCATTAAGCTGCTTACGCCGCGTTGGTTGGTAACATGCATGTCCGCCCCTGCCTCAACAAGATGTTGAACCACCGACAGGTGCCCTTCGAAACATGCCTCTAGTAGAGCCGTATCCCCCAGAGAGTTCTGTAGATTTATAGTTGCCCCGTTGTTGACCAAAGTTTGTACCATGCGTAATTTACCGCTCATAGCAGCTATCATAAGAGCAGTAACCTTGTCGTAAGCTACCGGGCTGTTTGTGGTGTCATCTACCGCACACCCTTCGTCCAGGCCGTACTTGCGGGCTGCCAAGTGCTCCAGGACGTCTGGGTACCAGCCGGTAGTAGCGGCCACCACTGGGGTGGCGTTATGGATATACACATCCCGGGCGGAGGACGGGCGTCGAATATGATAAGTTTCGTTACATCTTTGAGTCATTAGCTCCTGCAAGTTTTTATCTTGAATTCCGTCCAGTCACCCTGAGCTTCAGAGCTAACTTGNCCGGCTGTGGCTTAACACCTTTGTTTAACAACATCTGAAGACAATCCAAATGTCCCGCCGATACGCTGTAGAACAGGCAGTTGCGACCAAGCTTATCAGTTTGCTGTTTATCAACCCCATTAGATAACAGGTATTCAACAACATGTTTGTTTCCCGCGTATGCAGCCAGCATTAAGCTGCTTACGCCGCGTTGGTTGGTAACATGCATGTCCGCCCCTGCCTCAACAAGATGTTGAACCACCGACAGGTGCCCTTCGAAACATGCCTCTAGTAGAGCCGTATCCCCCAGAGAGTTCTGTAGATTTATAGATGCCCCGTTGTTGACCAAAGTTTGTACCATGCGTAATTTACCGCTCATAGCTGCTATCATAAGAGCAGTAACCTTGTCGTAAGCTACCGGGCTGTTTGTGGTGTCATCTACCGCACACCCTTCGTCCAGGCCGTACTTGCGGGCTGCCAAGTGCTCCAGGACGTCTGGGTACCAGCCGGTAGTAGCGGCCACCACCGGGGTGGCGTTATGGATATACACATCCCGGGCGGAGGACGGGCGTCGAATATGATAAGTTTCGTTACATCTTTGAGTCATTAGCTCCTGCAAGTTTTTATCTTGAATTCCGTCCAGTGTACCTCTTAAAGATTTCATATCGCCGCCACGGATTGCATCAAACAGACGTACATGAGGATATTGAACCACTGTTGGCGAAATATTTTTGTCGTCTTCGAGTATCCCCATATTTCTACATGTGGTGTCATTGCCAAGCTTAAGGTAGGCGGCGTGGACCTTGCTATTTTAACTATCATGATAACGGAGAGGTGATAACGTGAGATCAGGTGATGCAGTGACGTCAGTGTGTCAGTCACTGAGAGCCGTACGTGTATGTGTGTATCTAAACCTGGTCGTTTCGATACCGCAGCTCCAAATGTCACAGCACTCTGGAAAGAATGATACAAAAATACGATTTTGACCTACATGAATTTTTCATTGGAATTTATAGAGTCCGACTCTTTTGCGCTATCATAATTGCAGATGAAAACACTGCACTGTAAAGCAGGCCATGAATAAAATGATTTTATTACCTTGCCACTTTTTACAGTATTTTTCAAAATAAGATTGATATCTCAAGTAATGACGTTAGATTTTGAACAGGAAAGGAATGAAATCACAATATCAAAAGGGTAGTCAGAATTAAGTGTTCCCAGAGCTGACCATGAATTTTTCAATTGTAAAGGAACTATGTGCTGATTAGGCGTAATGCGTGTAACTCCGAGCACATAAATCCAGTTGCCTGTTACTTCATTGTGTTGTCCGATTTCATTTTGAAATAGTTTCATTCGTCATCCAATTGTATCACAGTAAACCGCTTGGATTACCTGCAATTGTGACTGCTAATAATTCGAAAAGAGATATGCTTTGACTGTTATCAATTTTGCATAGAGAAATTACACACACACATGCAAATGTTCCATCGTTCTTTTGTCGACATCATAAGAACGGATTATCTGTGGAATGCTATGAAGCTCTGAAGACAGCACATTGTTTTCTATCGCCACCTATCTATTTTCTCCATTGAATGAAATATTAAATGAGACTTCAAAGAAAAGGCCAGAAAATAATACACTCAGGATATCAATTGCAGTTTGAAAAGGTACTAAACCCTTTGTATTTTGTAGCAATGTCGATAATAAAACGTGGGAGGCTGTACATCGAATAACCGTACCCATATTCAAAAACACTTTGATTGACCTTTATCCATCTTGTGGTAATTACATTCATGATGTAAGGATATAACTAATCGTATATTGCACGTTTAATGCAAAACATTTTTATTTAAAACGTTGTGTAATGGAAGCCATTAGTTATAATCAACATTGCAATCTCCTTTCTTGGAGAAAAAAATTACACGTAGATGTGGTTTCAATAATACAAGCATAGGACGTCATATCAAATAAATGAAGATGGATGTTTTTTCCTTTGAAATTGCTTCCGTTAGTTTATAAAACTATCAAACCATGGATTAATCTGAAGGATATAATAAGGATGATTATGATAAGATGAAGACTCCTAACACGCACTTTTCGTATTACAGTGATAAACGAAATGTCTTTTGAAATTCACCAGAAGCCTGATAGTAAGAGAAACAGAAAGATTGGTCAGCAGATACTCACAGGCCAGACAGATATCATGATCATACATGGGGGAAAATGGAATAGTCCAGCAGTTCACAGGTCCGAAGGTGCATTGGTCTGAAGGTTCTCTAGGTCGAAATCATATCTGTTTATCTACGTTCGTCAGGAGGCTCGATCAGGTCATTGCCACCAGAAAACAGGCGCAATCTTCACCACCGGTACTGTTGCAACAGAATGTCTCTTTCTGATCAAGTACCACTGCTCCATCGAGCTTTTAAACCTTCGGACCAATGAAACTTTGGGTCTTTTTTCTTTCAAATTTACCCATGTTCAAATATTTTTCGGATCAATTACCCTTCGGAGCTGCAGTGGAGCTTCAAAATATCCGTACACAAGTAAAAGCATGATAGAAAGAAAAAAATCCTTGCAGTTTTACCCATTACGCAAACAGCATCTATACACTGTACACAGTCTACAGCCGAAATACTAGAGTATTTTATAGGTCGCAAAAGCATTCCATAGCCGTCTTGAACATGCCATGCTTTATTGAATTTGTTTCTAGATTCTCCACGGATTCAGCCTTACGTTTTCTGTTTTCAGAGTGTTCTTTATTTCACTTGATATGTTTACCTTCACCGTTGAGCTACATGTATTCTTAGATCGGCACGCACCACAGCGGCTTGTATAATTGCAAATCGATCCCCATGGTCGCTGATCGAGATGATCGCTTACATGGGATTGTCACATGGACTTTCGGCATTAGATAAAAATGAACAGCGTTCATGCAATATAAAGATTGGTGGTTGTTCCTCGTGTTTTCTGTAATCAAGAACATACCCTAAAACGACTTATAAATTAATCAGCTTGGGCAATGGTTTTTACGTTTTCTGACACAATACATGTACACGTACGTGGTGGAAATCGCAAATGAATTTAAATTTTGCACATTACCTAATTAGAAATATCTTAGACCGAGTCCTTGTGGAATGGTATACATTTCTTCTCAGTATAATGAGCTTTGATCTCCTTTACGAAAGACGTGCTCGAGTTTTCTGAAAAAAATCCTTAGACAATTAACAGAACGTAAAAATACATAATTGACGTCCGAATATGGCATTTGACTTCATGGTTAATACTAATTGGTCCCAAGGAAACATACATTCAAATAATTGTGTCTGGCGGATTCTTACCGAGGAAAAATTGTAGGCCTAACTGAAATTCCAAATAGATGTCAGCGGGAAGAAATGGAATTCATGAAGAAGGTCAAACTCCCATAACAGGAAACGGGCCACGGTTACTTTTAGACAGATTTCCATTAATCAACTTTACCTAGCGCATGAGATTCGTTATCTACCTGCTAATGATAAAATCATTGCTTTCTTTTCTGATCTGGTAATCAATACAATCGTTCTATGAATAATATACCTCGTCAATATTGCAAGCACTCTATATACGTCGTAAAAAAAGTGCGAGTCGTAGCAGAGACATTGTATACTACAGTGATCGCCTGTACTAAAAGACGCACTCTCCATCTAATTTGACCCTACAATTAATGTAACGTAAGAAATCTTCCGGCGGTCGCACATCAGATCTCTTTGAGATGTACACTGTCCGTCTGGAATATCAAAGTAAGATCTAGAATCAGTATGTTCTCTATGGCGGTCATAATAACATTAACTTTGACTTCTCCGCTGACACAGAAATTAAAGACAACAAAAGGGCAAAATGGTTTCTGGACTATTACACACCAAATAAGATGAAATGTATTTGAAAATTGGCAGGCTACTTTCATACCTTTTTATAATATTATTAGGGCCACGGTCTATATATTCTCAGTCTATATATTTGTATGTATGCGTGTGCACGTCTTCGTCGTTTACGGACAGGTGTTCTGCTAATTCTGACTACCTCTCTTCAAAAAGAATGAAATTTCGCCATGAAAGCTCTCCAGCACATTACCTAGGAACACAAAAGAGTCGAAAGACAGCATTCTAACACCTAGGTGGCATTCTTCCACATTCGGGTCTTCTCTTCGTGTAAAATATTGTTAAGGATAGACTTTCAGTAAAAGCATTTCAAATTGTCTTTTCAGTGCTGTTGCGTGACATTCTGAAACCTGTCTCGTGAGCTTGTCGACTTAAACTTGTGTTTGGTATTCAAATAAGGATAATTGCAAACGTATCTTAGACACTGTTAGAATAACATGAAACCTTTTCCAGACTACATAATAGGCCAAAAATCATTTTTGAACAAGCATAACACTGTCATCTGCAAAACAATATCCTGTGTTAAATCTACGCTTTTTCTAACGGTTATGGTTTCTTTTTTTTATGTCAATTTGAATACGTAACGACCCAAATGTACTGCCTACTGCCTACCTACAGGACCCACATGTACCTAAAGGTACATGTTAGCCTATATCTATCCGCTCCGACGTCCATCCATCGATTCATTTATTAATCCATTCACCCAACTATCTATCTATATATTTATGTATCTATTTTTATTCTACTGATTTCCACACCCTGCTCCTTCAAAGATATATATTTAGTTACAGCCGCAAGCAGATAAAATAAGTGGAAAGCTCCCAAGTTGTATTTGATAGTGCTTGATGCATTCACTTAAAAGTTAAGCCATGGCCTTTCAAACATGACCAATTTTCCAGAGCCAACTTAAAGATAGAGACATACATGTACAATATAATCCAAAATAAAAAATGAATTACTTTAAGCTTGCAGCGTAAGCCATTTTCAATTCAAAAAGAGAATGCTTAAAAAAGACGAGAGCAAAGTAAATTTCAGCGTAAACATAAGAAGACTATAGCAGTCGCTTTAAAGTGGTCGGTAATGAGAGCATCACACAGAGTTCCTTTCCTTCCCACACATTGCATTGAGCGCAAAAAAAAGTCGTTCATGCCTTATGAATGGCACAAACCGGCATGGAACATGTGATTAAGACCCTAACCTCGATAAGTGGCCAATCATTATTTTCAAAAACAGGAACTTGCATAGTTTTTTTCCTAGAAAGGGCATTTCATCTAAGTTAGCCGTAAAATGGCTTTTATGAACCATGGTTTTAATCAAAGAAAAGGGGGATGCCCAAAAAGTCTCATTCTAACTGAGCATTACTACTTATCACAAATGCTTATAACAGAAAACATGTAACTGGCATCTGTTAAGCCGAACAAAATTATACAAATATAATTTCTAGAATTAAAGATTGATTAACATGAAATAATGTTAAAATTTAGGATACCTTGCTGGATACAAGGTCAATAAAAACTATGGCTATGATATATAATTGTAAATTGGCAATAAATATGATAAATTAAAGGTGCTCAGTGCACATATTTCAAATATGACAATATGTAATTTAATTCAAATCCTAATAGCACTCAATTATCGCAGCTAATCTCAGAGTTCATCTCAAAAGGACTTATTGTGAAACATGGCACAAGTAATATAATGCGACTTTCAGTACTAGTATTGTTTGCGGCTATACCAATGTCCTTTAGGAACTGCGCGGCATAGGACCTGTTTTTGCTGTTTTTGCTAATATGTTAAATAATCTTTTATACGTCAAATGATCTATGGTTGATTCAAATCT